ATGAGTTCATTATCTATCTCCCCTCCCCGTGACTGACCTTGGCTTCAGTGTCCCAAAACAAACTTATCTAGGAATTAAAAAGGGAGCTCTGGGTGAGCCAGGTACAATTGAATTAGAATATGTTTTTTGAGACTGCCTCAAGACTAGAAACAGTTCAAGGTACAACACTTAAAAAGGTGAGAATCATTGTATATAATGTTCTGCTACTTAATGGATGCAGTTTATTCATATGCATAAACGTTGCTGTAATATCTGCAGGGGTGCTGAACTCATCTTTTATTCACTGATTCCATTAAGAGATTGCGCTCACATGAGCTGGGGTGATATATGAACTTAGCATTCTTTCGCGGTGATAATGACAGGGAAAAAGAGAGAGATAACAGGAGTTTTCAAAGGCTTTCCGAAAGTGGGTGAGGCATCCATCATGTAAGGTGACACCGCAAAAAAGCTGCATCAGCTCCCTTGAATCACAGCAGCTTTGTACTCTTGTATTTTAACAAATGCACACACAAGACAAAAAAAAAAAACTGAATACTTCCACGCCTTTCTGTCGAAAGACACACAAGAGAAATTTGGCTGGAGTGTTAAGCAAAAGCTTCTCATCTGTGGCTGTATTCTCCTCAAAGGTTATAATAACGATCCACTGTAGCTGGGGGCACTGGAGTCATGCATCAAGGCAAATGTTTGCCTGTTCAAGTGGTTAGTCAATGACAAAGTGGAAAAAAACGGGCTAAAGAGCATCAAAAGTCCCTTGACAAACTGGCCACTGCTGTAACATATCATTACTTAGGCGGCAAAGACACAACACAGTGTGGTGAGAAGAATCAGAAGGATTGTGAAGGATGAGAATGACAACTCCTTAACCAAATGGGAAATATTAGTGGGTTTTTTATAGCCTTTGAAGTCCAGGGTATTCAGTTTTAAAGGTTTTAAATTACACTACCCTAAAAAGCTGGCAATAATTTACATGCTATTTCAGCAATGGTGAGGAATTCACTGGAGGGCAGTGTTCAGAGTTAATGACTTGTTCTGCGGCAGGAGGAGGCACATGCACGCAGGCTACACATGCACGCTAAAAGACCCCCCCAACCACCTAAATTCCTGCTATCGTTGCGTGAATGGGGAGATTTGGTATGATGCGCAGACTGGACAAGACATGGTGGCAGTATGGATGTTCTAAAAAAGATCACTGTAAAAGTGCACTATATCACATTTAAACCTGAGTCATTCAGCAGAACGACCTTATCCATCAAAATGCTGGTCGCATATCTAAGCCACTTACACTTAACTCAACTAGCATCCCAGATGCCTGAATTACCCATTCAGGGTTTTTCCCTCAGGAAAAATCAAAGAAGCAGCAAATGAATACAATCTAATTTCCCTACAAGCTGGCTTTCCAAGCACTGAAACACATGCATGGACTACTGCCATGCACTGAAGAAATGGCTCTGGACGCATGCCAAAGTGTTTTCCACAGCAATCAATACTGTCCTAGTGCTGCAGTCCCCAGCCTGTCAGTGTATGTGTGTGTGTATGAATGTGTGTGTGCGTGTGTGCGTGTGTGTGTGAGTGTGTGTGTGTGTGCCAAAGCCTTGTCAGCTAGAGGGACAGAATAGAGGAGAAGAGAGGTCAGATGAAATCAGAGGTGATGATAATAGCACATTAATATAACATGATCCAGAAATATTCTCAGCAGTTGTGAATTCCCATTAAGAGTGCCTTGCTGTATTTGCACTAAAGTGGGATATATAGTAAAAGATAAGCATAAGTAATTAACCGCCTGAAGCAGAGAACACAATAAGTGGGTGTTGTGTGCAGTGAGCTGTTATCTACAACAGCTCTCTCCTGAAATAAGGAGTCCAAAAACAGAAAGTATTGCACACCAGCAGGAGAGGCAGGCGACTTGGAGTGAGAAGAAGTAATGTGTCACTCAATGAGTTTTAAAACACATGTGACTGTTTAGTCAGTGGCAGTTTGCAGGCACACAAATAGAGCAGAGGCCCCAAAAGAGGGTTTGTCATAATGGGTGAGCAACTCGACACAAAGCCTGTTTAAAGAGCAAGCAGAGCTCAACTGGTGGGGGTAAACACTGCTTCTCAGGCTGAGATGCAATGAAAAATAGAGCTTCCTCCACATATGGACATAATAATTAACCCAGAATAAATAAAATACAATAACAAATAAAATAAATAACTAGATTGATTTATACAATTTCTCTGGATCTGTTCACCAACTACTCAGCAAACACATGCCGGGAGTGGCAGGTTTATTCAATGAATCACTATTGCTATTTTCAGCCAAAGCTGACTGCATTTAAAGCTGGCTACATTTAAAAAGGAATTGACCTCCAACCCTGTGACAGAAGAAAAACAAGCACAGTAGGTCATGGGTTGGTTCCTCTTGTCACCGCACAGCACAGCAAAACATGGCGACACAGCGCAGGAGAGGCTGAGAGCAAACAAATACCTGAGAAACAACCAGGAAATCACATCATACCTCGGCGCTGAGAACACAAGTGAATCAGTAATCCAATTCCAGTGAGCTAGTTCAATATAAGGCTACTCTGATGTTTTGAAAAAGTTGTGCCTTTGGGTATTTGTGGGATATTGTGCTTCGGGCTTAAGATAATACCGTATGAGACGTGATCTCACAGAGAAAAGGAGAAACACAGCCCTGGTTGTTTGCATGTCAAATGTTAAACTCTGCTTCTGTTTTATGTGTGAAAATATTCAAAAGTCAAACTAAGAATAAATGTCATGAGGCTCAATGACACCAAGTTGTGGCTTTACCTCATGATGTGCTCTTTTGGCACTGAAACGTTGTGAAAATAGCACACTTCCTGAGAGCTGTATGTTATCAAGTTTATATCTGAGTAGCCATAATTTGAACTTGGTTTTCAGCCTGTCAATTACAGATTCACAGAGTAACTCCGCAGCCATTAATCTGTCTTCATATGCTCCCAGAGTCCTGAAGAAAAATGACTAATGTGAGGTTTATAAACTCCACTTCCCTACATGAACTCCTCTCTAGTGTTTACGTTTAAAAAAAACAAATAATCTTTTCACACATTCATCACTCAGGCGTGCAATTTTAACAGCCAATGAGTTTTAATGTCACATCTTTCTGTGATGCTGGTTTACCCTTCCTGTTTGTTTTCTGGATTATGGGTTGCATCTGTAAACGCTCCTAGCTGACTCACACAGTACAGATTACTGTTATGGGGCAAAGTCAGCGAGAATCTGAATGGGCTCAGTGAAGGTCATAAACTGACTTGAAGTTGTCAGGGCAATTTCCGCTGTGTAATACAGTAAGTAGTCCGATTTGCAGAGAGCAGGAGGCTCGACAAGCCCTTTAATTGAGATCAGCCGGCAGACACCTACACTGCACTCAAAACATATCATCCTCAATTTATAATATTTCATAGTCTGGTGTATTCTATTACTGAAACTTCAAAGCATGTGCATGTGTATCTGGTGCAAGCAGGATTGCGTGCTGTGATGCAAGTTGCTGCATAATTCATGCAGGGAGATAGCTTGTATTCCTTTTATGCTTGTACTCTGCTATTAAATACACAAACTACAGCAGCTGCGTTTCCTCTTGAATCCTTCTGTTTCCTTGAACTCTTTGAGATTTGATTTGTATCGGCACTGCAGCCCTTCTGGTAGTTCATATAATATTTTCCAGATAAACCCAAATGGACTGGAATGTAAGCACTTTGAAATGCAAATAAGTCTTTGGGTAAGGGGCGGAGCTGACATGTCGTTGCGCAACTGTGGCCTTGGAATCGGCGGCGCATGCACTCAAAGTAATTACTAAATAATTGCAGCGTGTTAAAGGCTAAAGCGAGGGGGCTTCAGGAGATGATACCCGTTCATAGAAGAAGTCTGCCACAAAGATGATAGCTTGTCTAAGCGACAGCCCATAAATAGCCACCTTTCTCATGAAAGGGAAATGTGATAGCCACTCTATTACTCAAGAGGAAAGAATGTAAGTAAACCATCAGCGGAAGAGTGGAGTACAAACACGGCTTTGTCCCTCCCTATAAACAATATAACAGCAGCAGAGAATAATTTCCATCCAGCCGCAAGTGATCACAAGCAGAGAGTAGTAATTAAAGTGCTGTAGTCGCTGCTGGAGGAATATCGGAGGGGAAAACAACACAGCATTTGTTTTAACAGCCGATGAGAAGAACCCTCGATATCTGAGTAATGCCATCCAGTGCAACGATGTAATCGGATCACAAGCGCCACATATGGCCACAGTCAATCATAACTATTGCCTTTCTGTGCCAACAACAGCGTAATGTAACGCGGAGGCTTTTTAAGTGCTGCCTCATATGTGAGCTGACAATATCAACATTGTTGAGGATGGAAATGTCCACATGGAAAAAATATGCAAAGCGCGGAGTAGTTAAAAAACGTGTCAGCGCTGGCTGTGTGCTCCGCCACGCTTTATGACTCGCTCTGCCTCTTTCAACATCAGGCAGCATTACAAAATATCAAATAACTATCGTACCGAACGATCTGAGCCGGGTTGACCCCATGCGTACATTACCGTTTCGCAATTTCCGCCCATATGTCAGTATTTGAGACGGTTTACCAAGAAATGAAATGACAGAGCCTAAACGCAGAATTCTTGCGGATTTTCCCCTTTATAACACAATTAACCCCATAGAGCGCAGCAGCAGCCTTATTGAGCGCAGCTGGACAAGTGCATATTCAGCAGTTGACACCACAATAGGCAGATAGGTTAAAGTAAAACTATGGAACAAATACAACAAATAGTAGGTCAATCATTTAGCTGCTCGGGCACATCAATGTCAGTATTGATGCACGGGTTTAAGCGAATGTCTGCCGCCGGAGACCAATCATCCACTGCCAACTCTTAATGCAGAAAAGAGGATGTTTAATAAAATGCTCGCGAACAAGAGAGCGCACAGAGAATAAACACGTTGTAACACCAATGATTCATAATTATCCATTATGAATTAATAGTCCTACCTCTCCATGAATGCCTGTCCGTCCCTGGGGAGTATCCTCGGGTAGAAAATAAAGTTTGGAGCTTGATAAAAGTTGCTTGCTTGTTCTTTCTTCCCAGAGCAGCTGAAGCTCCGCTATGCAAATAGGATCCTCCGGTTTACATCTGACGAAGAAAAAGTCTCCGAGAGACAGAATCCTCGGTTTACCGTCCCGGTTAAATTTAAAGGCTTTATAGAATATATATGGTCCATGTAAACCGCAAGACGAGCCCACCCACTGTAGAGGAATCACAAACAGAGAAATTAATGAATGGATTATCAACTCATTTGGTAAACAAATCGTTTCTAAGTGGACACAAACGTTTTAAACATCCCTGCGTAATTACGCACGTTTGGCAAATATCACATTAGGACATCTCAGTTTCCTGCACATAATTAGAATCATGTAACTATTTTTAATGTTCAACATATGACACAGATGTGGTCATGCTAAAGGCAATGTGGCAAACTTTTGTGGATTAGGCACGTGAGTACGTTTTACAGTAAGTGGTGATTAGCGCAATGCGAAAATAAAATAAATAGACGGTTGATAACAAACGTTACCTTCAGTGAGTTCGGCTCCATCTCGACGTTATGAATTGATTAAACTCAACACGCTCTCCAAACTTGCTGGCTTGAATGGATCGTGAAGGTCCTGCAAGGGACATATTTCTGTAGAGTTTAAAACATCGTGTAAGTCGATTAAGAGTGCTGGAAAAATATGTTTTCTGGTAAAGGTACTGCATGATATACTGTGAAAGTATGTGTATTTATTTATTAAACTACATATATCGCCATTATATTTGGGGCGAATTTCTATTACGCGTAATCACGTGTTCAGACATAAATATTAACATATAATCATACACATAAATAATTTTCAAACATCAGTAGATGTTAGTTGTATTTAAAATACTAAATACCGTTTTGGGGGAATGATCTGCCCATAGAAGCCTAATTTGTGCTCATATACTGCGTTTATGGGCTTTTCTGAGACCTTGTGTCTTCCAGGACTTCTGTAAAAGACGTTCACTATGAAAGCACATTTCTCACAGTAATGACACTGAGGCGCTTGCTGTGGATGCCTTCAAGAAACAATGTTACATGAAAGTTAATAGGGCTATCAAATGATTCCTCAAAAGGCAATGTGGGGACCCGTGAGGTGCCGGCTTTGCTTTGAGCGGACCTTGCGATGCGTTAGAGCACAGGCGCGCGGGTTGGCGTTAATGCTACAAAATAATGGCCTTTTTCGATATTTTGAGGCGAGCATGAAAAGACAAAAATTGGCCGAGTTAGAAAAGCGGGGCGTCACGAGACAGAATTCACGAGGCGGTCCATTATGCAGACATAAATCATCTTAAGACGCTGCGCTGACCTTGTGAAGACAGCGGAATAAATATGACACGGGTTTACACATTTGCACGATCAAAGCCTTTTATATAATTATGTTGATTGATATTGATTAGGCTTCCAACACCTGGGGAACAACAAAATGTATTACAAAACCAATACAAAGCTATGGATTATTAAATACAGCTATGATATTTAGACAAAGTCACACAAACTTCACGGTCTCTATTTACATGTGTGGACTCATTGTCCTTTCAGTCTCCGCTGCTGAATGTGTCAGCTGTATTTTATCGGCTGTCTGGAATAAATAATGTGTTGAGAAGTACCGGCTCCGTCCACAGCGCTGTGCTGTTTCTACGCCGTCATCCACCCTTTGCCCTGCATTTATCCACTACTCAGATCACAGAGCATGCAACAGCGACATAGGCCTACTTCTGACACCAGCTATTTCAAGTACACTATTACGCAATGCGCTTTTTTCCCCCTGAAATGACGAGCAGAGCATACAGGCACATTGATTCACATCCAGTTAAGTGTTTTCCTGTATACCAAACGGACATGTTTTTCTCTTCTGGTGCTGCTGCTGTTATGAATGTCTGTCTGGTCGTTATCTTAAAGACATATAGTGGAATCAAGGCTCATAGATCATGACTTTTACCCCAATGAGGTGCAATAGACCATTATAATACAACATCATACAATATAGAACATTTGAGAGCAGGATCATAATTTCAGTCCTCTAAAATTTAAATTGCACCAGCAGTTTCTCTTCACTGCCCTCTATTCAAAGAACATGATGTATTCATACTAAAACAGCTGAGGCAATGTTCTGTGACGCTTATATATTTTAAGTACAAGTTCAGTGCATCAGTTAGGTTATACAGAGGCTTGTTGTCTTGCAGTGTTGGAATCCTGCAGTGAATCTCATATAAACCGCGACTCTTAAGTGTTATCTCTCCCGATTTCTCTCCCAGCCTTTTCAGTGGCTGAATCAATGGGGTTGCATTGTTAATGGCAGCCACTATAATGAAGTCCCTGGTTAATCAATGGCACCACTAGAGCTCTTATCTGGCAATTGCAAGTGTTTGCTTGTCAACAGCCAGAGCCGAGCACAGCGACTGCAACGTTGTGATGCAGATATTGATGCCAGTTGATGTGAGTGGAGCTTCATGTTGATCAGATCTTTATGGGAAATAAATAAAGACAAAAGGTGTTGGACAAATGTGATGATTCAATGTCAAAATATTAGGAACATCTTCTCAAAAGTGATTGGTAGGTATAGCGCATGCTGCATGTTTAGTGTGAAGTCAAAATGTCTGATCTCTTCTGCTTCTCTTTATCTCGACATGTCTTTGTGATTAGATAAGATTGCATGAAGGACATCAATAAGATATTTTTACATGGTTTAACCTCGCGAGTGAGTTCAAAACATGAAAAGAATGAATGAATTAAAAATAATAAGGGCTCTACATTAGTCTGTAGACAAATAAGTAGCTTGAGGAATACACTGTAAGCCATATTGAACAGTTTAACATTAATTTCGGGCGCACCGGTTACAGCTCAAATCCCCTTCACTAAATCTGAAAGTAACCCTCTTTAAGTCTAGCCACATATGTGGGTTGTGAATCTTGCAGCAGGAGTTTTTTTTTCACTTCAGACTCTGTTTACATTCTCAAGCTGTTTTTCCACTTTTGCAATCACTGCTTGCACAATTGTTTATTAGGGCATTTTGCTGAGTGGCTGAGTGAAATAAAATCACTCACAATACGAATTCTCTTTGTTTCATTTTCAAATCTCTGACGCAAAACTTGTTTGCACCACTAATACAGCTCTGTGTTGACTGCATGTGAGTGAGCAAAGAAGCCTGAACAATCTCCACAATGGAGGCACTAAAAAGGCTTTATTAAGGGAAATAATGTGAGAAACTGGACAAAGACCTGAGGCAGAAACTAGCTTATTTGTTCGACAAGTACAACGAGTGGATGAGTGCTTGGCTTTTCTAAGCACAGGTGTTTCACATTCTACCAAATGAGGCAGCATCAGCAGGGAGCCACAAATGAGTTTGGAAAGTCATCCCAAAATAGGAGAGCCGGGGTTACCGTTACAACCACAGCAAAGCAATACAAAAGTCATCAAAATAGCATATTCCTTCATAATTCTGATGTTGAAGGATATGTTGACATGTCTTAATGATGAATATGAATGTTAGAATGCCCTAAAAATAGTATTGGAGCTACAGGTACGAAATTAACTCATAGAGAGCTGCAAAGACAAATTAAATCAACCCTTTGATGGTCCAACCCAGAAGAAAGCAAAGGGGAAATGATTTATTTGCATTTCTTCGTTCCTTTGAACAAATAAGTTAATTAGGCATATGAGCCTTTACCAAATGAAAGAAATGTTCATTTAATACACTTTCGACAATCTCCATCAATTTTTCCTCATTAAATTGCCAAGCAATGTGCAAAACCTAATAAATAAAACATTCAACGTATAACGTAAACTTTTTGTATTTATAAATACAATAAAACCAAATTAATGAATGGTCATAAAAGAAAAAAAGGTCTTTAAATCGCAGTGTAATCTTTGTATATTACTGGCTTTTATTCAAAACACACTACAAATACTTTGCTTTATAGTTAAATCTGGACACAGAAGCTGCACCTCACCCAGTGATCAGAGAGAAGTCGTCAATATACTACAACTGTTATTGTGTGATATCTCCAATATTTTCACATTAACAATGAATCACATATTTGAAAGGGGTTGCTTGAAGCAACAAACCCACAGATAATTACCACTTGACTCTTCAGCTCCTTTCAACTCTACGGAGCGTTTAGCTTCTTTTAGCTAATTGCTTTGTTCTGATAAACCCTCTGTGCACTATACCCGCCAAACAGCAGACAGACAACGACTAGCAAGTGAACGTAGTGAAGCATTTAGCTGCTAGAGCTAGAAATTTCCCTCAGAAGTTGTTAGAGTAAAACTGGGCTACAAAGAGAGTAAACATTGGACTTAGATTGGTCAGGTGGCCAGAAGGTTTGCCGTATTAACCGAAAATGTGATACTACCAATGTCAGTGTTGTGTTTACAGCTTGTTTCCACTGCCCTCGGCTGACAATCAGTTATGCAAGTTTGAATCAAGCTTTGTAGAATACAAGAATAATCTCTTACAAGAATAATGTGTAACATTTAGACCAGGGGTATTCAATTCATATTCAAAGAGGTCCAGTTAGAGAAAATGTCCTCGTGCAAAGGTCTGGAACATCACAACAATGTCTAACATGCGCTATGATTTAGTGCCATATATATTGAAGTAGCCTATAGTTGTACCAACGTCTGTATGTAGTCAACAACTGACTGTCAAATCAAAAAAATAAAGTTCAATTGAATAACATCTCAACAATATATATATAGTCAGGTTTCAAATTGGACTGGATGAATTATAACTAAAACATACTCTAATAATAAATAAATGTTCCCATTCTCTCATTTCAAGTAAAACAAGGAATGGAGCATCTTAGAATAAAGTACTTAATCTTAGAAGAAATTGTTCTTGCCCTGTAGCTTTAAATTCAGTTCATTCAAGCGTGTGAACCAAAAAAGCCATGTGAAATTACTTCTTTACCTTCTTCTCCAAAAATTCTGTCTCTCGTCCCGTCTCTCCCCTGTGTATGTATTTCTCGCTTGAGTCGCATGCTTATCAGAATACACATAGTTGATTGGCTGAGCAGCATCACGTGAGATGATTTAAAACATGACCCATGTCCTACACACTTGGCACACGGGAGAATGTCAATCTGCAACATCATCACTAGATGACGCCAAATCCTACACACTGCACCTTTAAGTAACTGCACCTTTAAGTATGTAATTCTTTAGTGGGGGGAGAAGTACTATGACTCAAGTGAAAGTAGAGCAAAACCACACTGTAAAAGTTTTACTTATTTTAAAATATTTTTTCAATAAATTGTATTACTCGTGGCCAAAACTCTCTCCCTCATCCATTTCTCTCTCAATGTGATATTGGGATCCAAATTTGTCATAGTGCTGCCAGCCATTATGAAAATCTACAGATGACTAAAGCAAGAACGCTTCTGAGGAATTAGGGCAACGCACTCCGTTTCCTACTAATTCCACATGCACAATTGCATTACCCAGTGGATATCCATCATCTATCATCAATGGAAAGCACTGGGACATTAAAAATCCATCAAGTAAATTTGTCCGGAGGAACACGTTTCACTAGTAACTTTACACCTAAGTCTTTGTGCTGCTGTAATAACATGACAATGGCCCCCGTCTGCAGC